AGAGGCTTCTATTTTTATCATTAATTGTAAATGTCAGTCATATCCATCCTCCAAATTTGCCGTGAGTTTTGATAAAATTAATTATAGATAACTAGATGAAGCTAATCATGTCAGCATGAGTGTGCAAGTACATCTAGCAAAACTTTTAATGATTTGTTGAAAGATGTTGTTAACAGAAACCAAAGTAATTCACAGTTACATAATTTATTATGCATATTACACAATGTTATGAGCAGAATAAATCAATAAATAAATAGAATACTTGTACTAAGATACACTTGTGTTATGTGCAAACTTGAAACCATATACAGATGAATGAGAATAAGAGTTCCTACCAAGACCTTTGCTTGCCTCTTTTCCCACCGGGAATTTGCCTGGCACACAGTCAAGTTTGATCTTATTAAGATGGTAAAACAGATAATGATAAGCAACTAAAACTAATGCATACTTAAATATGCTAATATTATCAATAATTTCACAAGATGAGTTCCATCTCATAGGCTACATGCAAAGAGTGCTAATATTATTTTCACAAGATGAGTTCCATCTCATAGGCTACATGCAAAGACTGCAACAGAAGTACCAAGAGTATAATAATGAAATTTTTAAGGGGTATAGTTGCCTTTTCCATATACCAAGATGCCAAATACAATGGTTCAGCATCTCAAATTAAAAAGGCAATCATATTTCAAATGTCCAATTGTTTCTGTTACAAAGTTTGCTTAAATAAGAAATATAAAAATGCTGCATTCCAACTTCTACAAGAGTGCAAGCAACTTAAACAAATACAAAACACAAGAATGGAATAAAAAAAAGGACAAAGAAATTTCTCCAGTTATATATATCTCATCTTCATACCTATAATCTCCTTTAATGAAGAATTTTCTGAACCAAAAAAAAAAAAGTAACTCTATCCATCCAAAAATTAGTGTCACACTTTTTAGTTTTTTAGACCATCCATAAAAGGATGAAAAGTTATTAAGGTCATTATTACTTGTAGATATTATTTGCATGAAATTATAAGTAAACGGATTACAAAATGATAACCGAAACAATAAAGGTGATCTTACCATCCTGAAGACATCAATTGATCCAGATCCCATCCCAGAAAGCATCAATGCAACCTGATCATCATTTAGAAATCCTCAAATCTTTCTCTCATAGAGACCCCATGTAAATCAAATTGCAGT